GCGTGGCTCCCCAGAAGGCTGCCGCAAGGTCCCCAGCCGGACCTAAGACACATAAGTCAATTTGATAAATGTAAGTGCTGGTATCGGTTTTTAGTATTGGGACAGAGGTCAGTTATAACGCAGAGTGCATTGGTCGATAATGTATCGCAGAGTGCGGAGGTCAGTAATGTAACACAAAGTGCGGAGGTCAGTAATGTAATGCAAAGTGCGGAGGTCAGTAATGTAACGCAAAGTGCGGAGGACAGCAATGTAACGCAGAGTGTGGATGACAGCAATGTAACGCAGAGTGCGGATGACAGCAATGTAACGCAAAGTGCGGATGACAACTTTGTAAGATAGAAAGGGACTTACAGTTTTGATGTACTAGATCATGTGCTCTGTCATGCCCTCTTCTTCCTCTCTTGGTGGTGGGGGTGAACAGCGATGTTTCTCCCATGTTAAGCCCCAAGCAGCCTTGACAGCTGCCGTTTTAAAGGGGAATCAGCGGGGGGGGCACACGGGGGTGCAAGGAATAAACTAGGGGGCAATTGCCCCCCTTGTCCACTGTAGAGACGCCGAAGTCTTACAGAGGGACAGATATGCTGTCCCTTGTCAGTTCACTACAGAGAAGCAGTCTTGCTCTCTGTGTAGAAGCAGTGATCTCTCTGCAGAGGTCTGACATGCCCTCTCCTAAGTCAGACCTATTGTTCTGTGATCTGCAATGCTCTTGCTTCTCCTTCTAATTAAAACAGTTTAGCTCTGACTTAGCAGACCTCTGTAGAGAGACCATTACTCTGTGTGTGGAAGCAAACTGTCAAAAGACAATCTTTTCTACTCTGTGATTGATTTCTAAAAAAAAAAAAAAAACTGCAACGCTTTGCAAAACCTATTGTTATGATGCACCTGGAATGCATTTAGAGATTTAAATTGAAGGTTCATTTGGGCTTTAATTTGTAACAGTCCCTATTTATTTATTTTTAAAATATGTCTAACAGACTGCTAATTTCCATATTAAAGGTTTCACTTCTGCTGTCGAGGCCCATTGTGCAATAATCCTTTGGGAGTTAAGGGCTAGCAGAACAATATTAATTTTACTCTTTTCATGACCCAAGTTTATAAAGCCTTGAAGATTACAAATTTGTGAGCTCATGAGAATGGATTTCAGCTCGATATTCTCCTGGTAGATTAAATACCTTCAAAGATAATCACCGAGCTTAATTTCTGTAATGGTCACCAGATGTGACATTATCCAGCCTATATTAAAAATCTAACGTATAACTATCTACACATCTATTTTTGTATCCTCTTGGTCATAAGTTTGAAGATTCAGGGTAATTCATATTTTTTGTGACTTCATTCAAATTTTGGCAATATTAACATATTTAAGTAATAGGAAAAATCGTCTGGAATTTGTAATGTTTTGGGCTCAGAAGCTGACTTGAAATATCTCTGTGTATGTCATATAAATAAGAAACCAATGTTTTGAGTACATCTTCCTTTCCTTATGGATGCCAGCAGCATAATATGAATGTCAAATGCAAAACATTAGCCTGAATAGGATGGGCTATTCATTTTAACAAAACTCTGAGCAAGCAGTGATCCATTGAGTCTTCTATGGTGGATTTTCTGAAATCTATAGTATTGTCATTGGTAGAGAACAGCACGCATATCTTAAAAATATCTGTAGAAAAATTATAAATCTGCATATCATTACAATGAGTGGGGTGACAGAGACTTCAATGACCAATAACTGCTCAGGTATGAAACAGGTGATAAGGAAAATGCAATTGTACAAACAGAATTATTTCACATTATGCACAGTATTTAGAGTCTACCAATATAACCAATGGATATACAATCATAAGGTCAGGTGTAACCAAAGTCTAATATCTGTAAAATGTATCATGCTACTACGAGAGAGTGCCTCAGTTTATGGTATGCCAAAGCATTAGGGTGGACATAGGCCTTACCTTCATTGTCAAGTGAAGCTGTCCCTCATAATGAAGGACCAAAAGCAAGGCATCTAAGACAGGAGAGGGCGGTGCCAAGTATGACCTACATTTCTGAAGTCACTATTTGCATTTTGCAACCCCCCAAGCCAGGTATCTTAAGTGCCCGCTTTGAATCTTTGCCACCAGTTTAATAAGACAGGTCCTTAAACTACATGGTGTATGATGTTATGATAGCCAGATCTTTTCATCAGCACTAATGGGCAGCTTCATAGTGTAACATATGGGCTGCTTCATAGTGGGCATATTGTTTGAGTACATTAAATGTACAAATAAGGTAAGGTGTTCTAACACTTAAGTCTAGATATACAAGGTTATATTAGGAGTCGGACAATACATTTATTCCCGTATGGGGCCTGGGAAAAAACATACTGCAACATGATCCCCACAGCCTGTCAAATCTCAAATCTGTCTTCTCTCTAATTGGTTGGGTACACATTGTGTTCCAATGTGTGCCAGGGGTGGAGCTTAGAACTGAAGAGGGAAATTGCTTCAGCATGGCAGCAGGGGGTTCTGCACACTGTTCAACACATTTGCAATAAAAGTGAGGCAACTCATGGTCATGGCATGTTTCCCTTAATTCATTCTATATCCTGCCATGGTAATAAACACAGAACTATGTAACAATCTGTTTGTTCTGTGTTCACATGCCTACACTGCACGTTGGTATGTATAATGGTGAATCTGATAGGAAGCTATAATTTAAGGCTGCAGGTTTATAGTGTGCTACTCGACCATTATGATATAAAATGTTGCCGAAGCTGATTTTTTATGACAAAGCAACATCTAGGCAACACTGTATAGTCCAGAGATATGTATGCTTCTCTGCCCCATCACTGTTACCTTTCGTTGAATTTTGGTGACACTCCTATGCGCACCTCTGATTGTGTAAGATGTTACATAGGAATGTGTTGATACCTATGCATACTGTACACTTGGGAATAATCATCCATTAGTAGAAATGTATTCCTAGTGCCAAAAGTCTGACTGTTATTGGGCTTTAATTTGTGCTTTAGCCATTTGTGGCAAAGTAACAGGTTTATTTAATGGCCTTTCCGCCTCCAAAGCTACCTATACTTCCCTTCTCTTGCACAGGCAACACACAACCTACACAGGCTAACAACTCTCTCCCTACCCTCACCATACAGAATATGAGTCTAGTGATTGGCCAGTTGGCACCCAGCATTGCAGAGACAGTAGAGGGTGGGTAATACAGTGAACCTAATGCCTTGCCCTTTGTGGGCAATTCACTGATCTATTTACAAAATATTTCCAAAAATTGTTGGGAAAGTAATTGTAATATGTACAATGTACAATGTACATCAGAATTACATCTTGTAGTTTCCTTTTGGGAAAGCATCTGACAGGGTGGCAATGCAGGAGAACAAGGCACCTTATAACAGGATTAGTAGGTGTTATTTTTATTAAAAGCTATAGATTTAAAAATACTGAAAATTACTTTTGAAAGAACACAAACATTTTAAAGCTTGTATGAGAAGTTAGTGAATGGTTTGACATATACTATAACAACAGGTGTTCCTATAAGTACAAAGTAATAATTGTATTTTGCATTTATCATGACACTAAAATTATGTTTCTGTTAAAAGCTTGGAAAACTTTGTCAACAAATTAAACAAAGCTTTTTTTATCAGCTTCATTCAAGTTGCTAGTCCCTACTCTATGCATCTTTTAAGTTTAAGTAATTCTTCCCTTACTATTGGCACTTTCAGATTATCAGAGCTGCTAAAAGCATGTGGACAAAGGGTGAACAGTGCATCCAGTAAAAGATGCAACAAAAGCAAATGGAGCTTACATATTACAATTACTTTCCCAACAATTTTTGGAAATATTTTGGAATATGCTAAACAGTTAGTAAACACAAATCTATTGCATATCATTTCAAGACATGCCAACTCTAGGGAATCAAGCTATGGGACCCATAGTTTCTTACATTTTTAAATTGTGTCTCTATGTAGGTATGTTTCTTTTTGAAGTGTTATCATGCTATTAAAGCAGAACTTTAAGCTTGTCTCCAGGAGAAAAAAAAATACTTCCCTTGCAGTGGAGCTACCCCCACACTGCAAGGGTTAACTGCTCATTTTTGTCTAGGGCCATTGTGTAAAGGACTTTTACTTACCTGATCCTTGCTCTTGCAGGCTCTAAGACCAGTGGATAAAGCCTCTTCCCCATCTGGACGGAGGCCGACTGGTGTCATCACGTACAATGCAGGCCCATAGCCCTGCATTATACATGAGGACTCCGAGGGACAGTCTATATGCCGGAGTGTAGGAGAGAGCTAAGTTAAAGTCCTTTACACACTATACTCCTAGACATTTTTGAGCAGTTAACCATTGTAGTGCCAAGGTAGCAAGGGGAGTTTTTGTTTTCCCGAGATACCATACAATGCCATGGAAGGGAGAAACCGAGCGTTACCTGTTCAGTACAGGGCTGAACAAGAAAGAAAAAACCTGTGTTTGGCCAGCTTTAGTATTTGTTCAATAAATAATACATTACTGTTACAAAAAGATAGAAAACTAGTTTTGATTATGTAGATATTCCTCAAACATATTTAATACTGAAGAATATGCATTCTCTTGACAAGTTTCCATCTCCTGCTGGGCATAAACCGTCAAAGTATAAGTGCATGGTGAGCAGACGCAGACATTTGTGCTAAGAGTTTTAGAAGTGTTATCTGCTGACTTAGGTCTTTATGATGTCATGATGTTGGCAGGACATCCTTTGCCCTTACAGCACTCTACAGTGCAGTGATAAAAAGCACAGCCACTGGTTTGCTTTTGGCATGCTGAAGATGATTCTGTGCCAGGGCACCAGTACTAACCTTCTTTCTGTATTAATCAGGTCACACTCTCATGTCTAGAGGTGACATTATTTCAGAGCCTAGTCTATATGGCTGAGTGAATAAGACTTTCCCTATCTTTTGGGGAGATTACATTGTTTAAAGTATCAATACAGTGTAAAGCTTGTAAACTTAAAAGGATTTTTTTTTTTCAGGCCAAATGTTTGTGGATCTCGATTCCATTCCTACTGTTGTCCAGGATGGAAAACATTACCAGCGGGAAACCAGTGCATTGTTCGTAAGTGTGTTTTCTTTACATGATTTTTTTTTTTTAAAGTTATGTTCCCCAAGTTTCAACAAATATTCAAGCAAACTCAAAATGACTGCTACGGCTCAGACAAGTTTTTCAGGCAGGTTTCAACAAGAATTTTTAAATCTTTTTTGGTCTTCACTTGAAGAGAAAATAAAATCTTATGACCAAAATACTCTTCTTTCTATAGCTTAAAGGTCTGGTCTTGTGTTTGGAGGGTTGTAAGTGGAAGAGAGAGTTGAATATGAGAGAGTCGAATATGAATAACATGTTTCAGCTGATTTTAGTTTTATAACCCAGGACAGAACCCAATAGCTTATGTCTGTTTTTTATCTCAGGATAGTAAAGTCCCTCTCCTTTATTCATGGTGGTCTTTCATAGAATATAATTTTTCTTATTCAATAACCTTCAGATTTTCTAGCTTACGGATACAATTATCCAATCCCCTACACAACGTTTTGATAATTAAAAGATGAATGTTACAAGTGAAGAATTACCCTTGTCATGTTATTACTCACCTTAGCCGAGTTCCTTTGCTGTTTTTACATGTGTTCCTTTAAGTTGCCTTCTGCATTCATAGTAACAGCTTAATCAGCTGAAATACCTAGCTGTATGTTGTTCTCGTGCACGCCTTTTGAAAGGGGCTCAGTGCACAGGGTCTGTGTTGATGGCTGAAGGTCTATTGATACCAATACAAATTTGCCCTTAGGGTCTAATACATCTCCTTACAATTTAATTTGCTTAACATCGTGTATAGTATAAAGTGGTAGTTCCAGATTTTTTAATTATCCATTAATAGAATAAAAAAGTTGGAATCTCTTTGAGGGGAGCCTCAAATGAATCATATAATGTTGTGGCATATCAGGTAAGCAAAGCCAAACCCTTTCCTCTTTCCCCAAAGGTCATATAAATGTACAATGTGAATTTATTTATCTAGACTAATACAGCTATACTTATATAAGGTTTTATATGGGAATTTTGTCTACACTGTGCCCTGGGGAGGATTTCCTGTGTTCTGCTTTTTGCAGGTGGTAAAATAGCTCTATATTCTCAGGAGATTATAACAGCATATGTATCCATTTTACGGACATGCTTATGTCAAGTAGAATGATGGACTGTGACCCCTCTTCTAACAAGTTTCACCTGCATATTCTGAAATCCACACAATTCTGGTTGCTTTAACCCTAAATGCCACTTTTTTAAATAAATATGTAAACAGTTTGAAATGAGGCTCCTGTGATCACTTCTTTCTGTACACCACATGCATTGTTGTGAAGTTTCTGCAGCTGTCTTTAAATATGAACTGAACTATGCTTTGCTTTGCACTGTGTTTCTGTGGGGGGCATCCAATTGGGTAGAGGCCGGGAATTTGCCTCCCCGTGTCAGAGTTTCCAGCAAGGAGAACATTGAGCAGCACAGTAGTGAAAACACCACATTCCACTTTAAATCTGCTATGACTAGCAGTCAGAGGCAGTAGTGCCTGAGATTTCACACTGCAGATGTACAGATGATGTCTTAGACACAAGAATGTAAAAAAAATGTATGCTTTTGCTATGATGAAGAAGAGAGCACCAAAGTATGGTTGGCAGTCCAGACAGAGTTTTTACATTTCAGTAATCATGTAAAAACAACCAACACATTTTAGGGGTTCCACGTAGGGGCCCACTTCATTAGGGCTTAATAATGCTGGGCTGGGAAAGAAGGTTTGGGCAAAGAAATTTGAATCTTTGAGTTAAAATATGAAAACTGCAGAAGGTCTGTGTGGGTCACTGGTTTAGCAACATTAGCTGTTTTTCCACAATTACTGTGATGAATACGTTTATCTGGGCTCTAAACAATACTTTGGCAATCTTTTTTTCTACAAACCATGAGACGTAACCTTAGGGCCATGCCAGAGCCCAATGTGCACTTGGGAGTTGCCTCCAAAAGGGCTGTCACATCAGATTGGATTACTCACCTACACCAGGTTCCAGTGCTTCACCTCTCTATGGCTTCATGCAAATCAGCATATGGGGGCTATACAAATTTAAAACATATTTCCCTGCCCAGGAAGCCACAGGTGCTGCATACAGCCACCTATAGACATCAATGGCTGTACGCTGGTACTTTCATAAACTCACCTATGTTTACAAGCATGTGTCCAAAATGTAGTCTGGCGTATGCCCATTGTACAGCCATTAAAGGAGAACAATGAGGTGAGTGCTTTTCACTGAGCTCATAGTTCTAGCCGACCTGTGACAATGAGACTGTCACAGGTCGGCTCAGTAGATTGGGAAGTGAGCGAACACATACCGGCGTTCGCTCACTTCTCGATCCTGTCATGGCTCTCTGCCGTGACAGGGGAGGGACTGGATTCCCCTCTCCCCGCTCCAATCTGCCAGCGCTGACTGGCGGAACGAACGGGGGAGGGGGCGGGTACAGCTAGCTCTGCCTCTAGATAGGCAAAGCCAGCTGCCACTCACGCAGCTGGGCGGATCCAGATATAATTGTCGGGATCCGCTTCAGCTGCGGCGTCTCAGTATACCACGGTATTCTGAGCTTAGGGTGACGGGAGGACGCTAGTTTGTGTCCTCCCGTTAACCTAAGGAAAACTATGGGGAAAAGCCCTAACCCTTTAATGTCTTATAAGTGGCTGTATATAGCATCTGTGACTTCCCAGGGGAAATTATACCCGAATTTGATGTGGACGGCCGCAATGCCTGTGCATAAGGCCTATTCCAGCAAGATTTTAATACTGTATCTGCCACCACTGTGGCGTATAACCCTCTTTTTTGTCATGGTGACCATTGTCACTGGTAGTGAAAGTGATCGGTTAAATTGTCATGAGAACAGGAAGTAAGGAGAAATCTTGTTCTAGTATCAACTGTCTAAGAGGGGATTTCCCCTCAGTTTGGAGAAGTTTCCACTCACTTACCGGGTTATTCACAAAAGGGTAAAGAGTTTGAAGAAGGCAGGAGAAGTGAACAATCTAGGACAACATAGCTCAACTGGAAAGTGAGCTGAATTGGAGAATTTTTCCAAATCAGATATTTTGTCCTAGATTGTTCACTTCTCCTGCCTTCTCCAAACTCTTCACCATTTAGTGAATAACCCTGTTTATGTTTTCTCATTAGGAAACCTTTCTGGTGAACACAGCAAAATGTTTTGGCTTTTCATGACTTTTTTAAGCCTTCTAAATCAACTTCTCTTCCTTCTCAATATCCCAGAATCCTGCTTAAAACAGTGATAAAATATTAAATCAAGAAACAAATCAATGATTTCAGATTTGGAGCTACAGTATGCATGCTGTAATTCTGTATGTTATTATACTGATATATAAATTATTTTTTTTTATGCAGCAATCTGTCGGAACTCATGTGGAGATGGATTTTGCTCACGACCAAACATGTGTACATGTTCAAATGGACAGCTGTCTCCCACTTGTGGGGCTGGTGGAGGTGAGTGAAAGAAGATGCAAATAGGCACAGTATACAAATATATGTAAACTTGTACACACATAAAGTGTCATCATAAGAGTGCATAAAGTGCAATTAAAGTCAGAACTTGTTTTTTTGTTTGTTTTGGATAGAGTAGTGAGTGATTAGAACAACTGTCAGGATTTAATTTTTGTGTCCCCATTGAGGATATTCACCCCCTCTATTTGTCCTGGTGACTGTTATCATTGAAAGTAAAGAGAAACTCTATGAATAGATAGGAAATCTTCACTTTGGAGGGATTTCCACTCACTTTCTGTTTTGGCTTTTGGAAAGAAAGTGAAGGGAAATCTCCCCAATGGGACACCGATGGCAAAAAAGCTGATAGGGGTTATAACCCTCCCTTACTCTATCCAAAACAAAAAAAGTTTTGGTTTTAGGCCTACTTTAAAACTGTTCCAAACCAAATTAATCTCAAGTCTATGTAAATTAAATTGATAATACACTGGAATTGAACTGCATAAGCCAAAGTCGTAATTGTTTATGCCATGGATCAAGGTAAGAATTTCATCTCTTGTTGGGCCTACTAGAGGAGGCATCAAACTAGATACTCTCGAGCTCTCGATCCCTTCATGCTTTAAAAGTTGCACAGTTCAAAGCATTGAATCCCTATGGTCTACAACAAGTAGAAATGTGACTGCATTAGTAACAAAAGCAAAAGTTTCCCAGCACACTCACAAGCCAGCCTGCAAAAAAAGGCAAGGGTGACACAAACTCTAAGGAGTTTTACAGAAATGAGTACAGAAACCTAGCACCCAGAATCTCTTTGAAAAGGCAACACAAAAAAGGAAATAAATAAAAGACAATAATTTATTATTAAAATCACTAATAATATACACACCTAATTAGTACAACAGAAATTATTACAGTAATGATTAGAATTCCTTTTTAGATCACAATGTAGTGCATTTGGCCGTACTGAAACCATAGACATTATTAGTAGAAATTTAAATTTCGTTACATTTCAAATAGTTATTCGTACGAATTTCGTTAAATTTGCACATTCGGATGCAAATTTGAACAAGTCTGAATGCGAACGAACCAGAATGTTCCATCCGAATTTTGTTCAAAAAGAAACTAAATCAGACATGTAAGTGTTCTCTGGCCAATCAGATTTCTTTTTTTTTTTTTTTGCTGTTGGGGTTGCATTGCAGCCAGGATCATGTGACTTTGTTCTGAATCAAACATTCAGACGGCTCCGAAATCCAAATAACGAACCTAATCAAATTCTGACTCCGAAAAACGAAAAAGAAATAAAAATCTGAATTGATACGAAACTAAACCAAACTAAATGGATTTTAACCGTACTAGTACATTTTGGCCTAGTACTTTCAGGTGCTTTGTGCTCAATACAAAGGCCACTAGAGATGTAAATATATCCATGCTTCTTTTACAAGTGTTCTATTGACTAAAAATGACCCTGTGGAGAAAGGATCACTTTAATCATGGGGATGAGAGGTAATTATTACTAGCAAAAAAAGTTTCTTATGTTAGCACTTAGTAGCAGGTCATATATTACTATCAATAATTGGAACTAAATTACAAGGACAGGTTAGAAACTTCTAGCACATTTTAGCTTGTTACAAAAATTATTATAAAGAGGACCTAATATGAGTAAATATGTCCAAGTCAATGTAAGAATAAAAAATGACAAGGGGGAGACAGACTGCACACACAGTTGCTTTACAATGGTTGAAGTATTTTTTCATAAAGCAGTAGTAGTAAAGACAATAACTAAATTTAAAATAAACCATATACTTCTCCTACTTTCCTTGGTATCTATAGTTATGATTGCTAAAAGATAGGCAATTGGGCGTTGGTCAAGCATGTTATTTCGTTTGGCCTTCCTCAGGAAACACAAAGCTAGAATTTATGGAGAACTGAATTTGATGGGCCTTTGACATTTAGAATTATGCATTATTATATAACTATTATTATTGTACAATAACTGTTTTTAAAACCAGCTTGTATTGATTAGAGATGAGCTTAGTGCAAACCCAGTTCACTTGAGAGTACCCCACCAAAAACTGTGACCAATGTCTCTTTCCTGGCGTAATCAGTTGCAGGAGTTACCGTGGGGACATTTCCTGGCCCTCGGTGAATGCTCTGCTCCGCAACTGGGAGGGAGGTGTGTTGGTCACAATTTTGAGCGGGCTTGGGCAAACTCAGGTGAACTGAGTTTGCACCAAGCCCCAGCTCATCACTGGTATTGATCCCCTGAACACTACAATATCAAACAAAGATTTCAACTAATATGTATACCATAATAAAGATATCAGATACAACACAAACAACTCTGATGAGGTTGTTGCTGTACCGTTGAAAATTTAATTTGTGTGCTCTTCAAAAAAGTTTATTTTCACATAATCCCCCTTGAAAACAAACTACTGCAATTTTTTTAAAATAGTATCTTAAAACTTTTAATTGAATCTTGTTTTGTGAAAGTATTTTTTTTTCTTTCCCAGTCTGGGCTCAGTCTCCAGGCTGCACTAATTAAATGAGTGTTTCTTTTGGCACTGGGCAATAGGAGCCTCCAGGAAACGCAGAGCGTGCCTCTAGGCTGGATTCAGAGAAAAGGGTCCCCCATGTACTATCAGGAATGCTAGAAAGTAAAGCAGGAGGGATTTAGCTAATTTGTATTTCTTGGATATCAAGGGGAAATCACTAAAATGTCTAAGCTGAGAAGAATTTAACTCTGTACAAAGGCAAAATAGCCTATCCTTTGTCTGGATTGTCCCTATTAGTTTAAAGTGTCAAGTTTCAAATTATTTTAATCTATGTGGTCTTCCAATATGCCAATCAATTAAATATCATAGAAGGCCTTTGTAAGGTTTGTATTGGCCATTTTAAAAAGTGGAATAAACCAATATGTCATTTATAGGAACAACAAGTCATAAATACGTATTTGTCATGGAAAGGGACAAATTATGGTACTAATAATGCTATCAAACATCACAGCAGTGCAATATACATTTTCACATTTCTTATTCTGACTAACAGATCCTTGAGTTTTAAGACCCTCTGCCTAATCTGTCTTTGTAAAGCTGCCCATACACCTTGCGATCATCGGACGAAATCGAACCGTCGTACGATTTTCATACAGCGGCCCCACCCCGCCCCGATTATCACAAGGTTGGATCAGCAGTAATTAAAATAAAGCACCTGGACAAATTGCGGTAATTGACTGCACGTATTTTCGTCTGCGCATGTGTAGTGTAAATCGTACAAATTTTGACGTACGGAAACGCCACCGAAGTTTTCTAACCTGCTGGTTAGTCAAAAGTCGATCGATTGTACAGTATTTGCGGTTGTACACTGCCCATCAACCTTACGAATATCGGACAAAAACGCGATCGCATACGAAAATCGGCCGATATTCGTAAGGCGTATGGGCAGCTCAAAGCAGGGCTGCACAGCTTCTGACTCTAATGAGTAGCATCAGACCTAAGTTAATGCTTAGATAAGCACAGGTGTAACTAGAAAATGAACATGTGACTGAAAGCATATATGCTAATTATATGGAATTGTACAAATCCTTAACCACTTGCCGTCCGCCCGTTGTAAAAAAACGGACGGACGGCACTGCTGCATTGGCGGGTTGCCGTCGCCAGACGGCATTTTTTTCTGCTCGCGCGCGCCCCCTAGCGGGCACGCACGGGCTGAAAAGACCCGACCAATGCAAACACCCGTTACCGGGTGTTTCACATATAGGCGATCAGCGGCTCCATAACCTGTGTCTTCGTTGCACGCTCCCATCCGAACATCTGAAACTTCTCGGGCGGCCGCAAAGGGTCTTGGGGTGGGCGCATGCGCAGTTTAAATCTTCGGCCGGGAGACGAGGAGAGACACAAGGTAAGCAAATGCAGCAACATGCACCCACACAGACTCCGTGGGACAGGAAGTACCAGTTAAGACAGAGGAGTCAGTGCTGGATCGGAGACCCGCAACAGAGCTGGAGGGACTCCTGAAAACTACAGGAAAGAAGATGATGATCGAATTAAGAGGCATCATTTAAGGTAAGTCCTTACATTAGCATTGTGGAGGTGGGGGGGGGGCTTTAGCCTTTAATGTCACTTTAATTGTAGCTAGAGCAATACAGTCTGGTCAAAACTACCCCAGGCTGCTATTGTATATTAACCTCTTGCCGTCCGCCCGTAGTAAAAAAACGGACGGACGGACAGCACACTGATAAGGTCTTCTTTCCTATCAGCGACCTCCCTTGCAATTCAAGGGGCAGAAAGATGCTTGGGTGATTCTATAGAGTTGATTTACTAAAAGTAGGTAGCTGTTCACTTTGCAATGGAAGTTTCCCTTAGCTTATTGAATGTGGTGAAGCTCTGCTGACTTCCAATCGTCCAATCATGTGAAAGCGAAATATGCTGCTTTTTAATTTTCTTGCACATGATTGCATATTCTTCGCCAAGTATTTTAGCAAAGAGAAAATTTCCTTGCAAGTTGAACAGCCTGAAAACTTGAAGAATAACCATGGATAGTGTAGTGAGGGTTTTAATCAATGTCTTTACTGATTTCTTTAGCATACCAGCTTTTTCAGTTTATATCATGCCTAGGTCTTGTACAATTTATGAGGACAGGTTATTTAAGGCTTATTGAAATTTGGAGTAAAATAATTCAACTTTGACATTTCCTAAAGTCCCTTGTGGAGTAAAGTAAAACATTTTACCATTTGCAAATGTTGGCAGTTTATCAGCATCTCTAGATATTACATCTGGCCCCGTATTACTAAATGCACTTGGTTTACATGACACATGAGTCTGTACCGAACGGTGGATTTTCTAAGACAGTGAGGCAAGTACAAATACCATTCTCCTCTGCTTGCACAGGCTGCATATTGTGCCTAATGAGCAATACTGATAGTTTCCTTGCTTCGCTAGGTAAACTGTAGTCACAGATTGCAACATTGGGTTTTGGTAGATAGTTCATAAGCAGAAAACAAGTACAAGGCA